TGGTGATAAATAAAAATAATACTATGAAGCGACGAAAAGTGGGGTTAGATAACTAAATATCCATAAACATTTCTCATTAAGTTGCTATTCCACATTCAGTTTCGAGCAATTCTTGGAGGAGAATTGGAAATAGCTATCTTTTTTCGAATATTCTTCAATTTTGTAACATATTTTTTTTTCTGACAGTTGAGTTGATGATGTACAAGTTGAATAGAATTCAATTTCATGCTCACATATGGAGTTTCCAGCCATTATTTGAGAAAACTGAAAATAGCTATTTTTATTTTTTTTAAATAACTCCATCTGGCATCTTCCCATCCAACCCCACTTTTCGCCATCGTAATTTTTTGAATTTACCGCCATACCACTGATCAAGTGACATGTGTCAAAATTGACTTTTAAGTAGTCATCAGACATGCATAATAGATCTCCAAGAAAAAATGTTTCGATATTCTACTAATAAACTTTTTCTCCATGTGTTAGGAACTTTATGGATGATACTGGATCTATTATGTATCTATTATTTTGTATTCTATCATCACTTTTAATTTTGTTTCGAAAAAAGTTATATTATGACGTTATTCTACAAGATTTCTGAAGAGAATAAAAACATAGCTTTTTTGTTTCTTTTTTCCTATTTCGCTTTGGGTAAATGAAATTTGTTTGTTTTTTTTTCAAATCAATCAATTCAAAAAAGTCTGACTTATTTCAAAAAGTCGGACTTTGATGACTTTTTCATAAAAGTCATGACTTATTCCAACCCTGCTCTAGTAGCAATCAAACCGTTTTGTGAATCAAAAGGTATCCGCAAGGGACGTTTTTGAAAAATATCTGCTACAAAAATCTGCTGGAGAATCAGCTGTCAGTTTGTTATTTTTTGACTTGTACGAGGCAATGTTCTTTGAGCTCGTATACGATTTATAACGGTTTTTGTGCCATTTTGAAAAACTTTGATTTTCTAATTCATAAACTTTGAGAATATATGCCGCATATATTTGTCATCATGACAATTTGTCATACGTTCTTTCGTGAATTCAATGAATTTTTTTTTTGATTTTTCATGAGAGATAACCAGCGTTCCTCCTTCCAAACAAATAAGACACACATTTTGAATAAAAACGTCTTGTCCATTGACAGTTTTACGAAAAGAAGCAAGTCTTAATTTGATTTTCGACTCTAGTTCACTGTCAGAGCTGCTGCTGATCGTTAAATCCATTTCTAGAGGATACAAAAAAATACTAACTGTACCTAATACTCACTAAGTAAGTTCTAAATATTGTTAACTTAGCAATAAGTTATTATTCGCTTTTAATAATATGATTTATAGACAAGAACTTTATCACTCATCACTAGTAATCTCAGTAGAATCAGCGCTACCAGAACAATGCATTCGAATTTACAACAAAACAGTGAATTCACGGTAAAATCGACCGTATCAACATCGCCCTCAGTAGAGTGGATTTTCGGTTGACTCAGGCATAGCAATCTCGCCCTTCCCCGTATCTCTGCGCTAGCCGCCGTTCGTCGCGACATGCCGTTCGATTTATTCAATTTCCTCGTGAACCAATTATCCAATCAAAATTCTAAAAAGACCAACATGTTCTCTGATGTTTGGTCTATAACGTTTATAGAAAGTCTTTTTTTGCTAGACCCAATACTTTTCGAGGTAGAGCGAGTTAAATGATTTTAAAAATATGGGTGTCCAGGGCAAGCGGTTTTGTGTGAAGGCTCTCCATATACAACAATGCTGCGACGTATTTTTATAAATTAAAAAAAAATATTTCTGATATCCGGATGGGTATGCAAATTTGAGGAATGAATTATCTCACATCTTAGATCTGAAAACCGATGAAAAAAAAAATTGGCTTTTTTTTTTTAAAAAGGCTCCCCCCACTCCCCTCCAACTACGATTTTTGGACGACCAAGTGATTTTGCATTGCAAAGGTCTTAGGAATGATAAAAAATGGGTTTTACATTTTAGCAACAAAGTGCCCACGGGATAGCACGATAGGATCCCGTTTAAACTCTACTATTATCCTTAGAAAGACTTTTGCTGATTGAAATACCGAGCATATATAGTTATTTATAGTGGACTTTGTGGGAATGGTGGCATCAGACATAGTTATATCAGGCACTAGCTCACCTGGCAAACTTTGTATTGCATTAAACATTATTTCTAAAAAATATTTTTTCAGTTAAATATTATGTATCAACACACAAATCTTGGAGTACTTTTTCGCTCATCTCACCTGTTCTATAGAAATGGCGGTATGACGAAGCAACCGTGTTTTTTGTTGGCTCAACTTTGCATAAAAAAAATTAGTCTATAAATAGTAAAATTCACCCTGATCCATTAAATAATTTTATCATGTCCCTGATATCTATATCCATTTGTTGGACTATAGGTAAATATATCGTTTAGAACATTCCAGCACTTCCCTGTGTTCGAAGAAATAGAAAAAATATATTATATGACTATAGATAAAACACAGTTGCTTTGTTGATTCCATCATGATACCTATGTTTATTATACATCAGGTATATAAGTCTTGTAGGTTTATTGAACGAAATATAAATAGGTTCGTATCATGAATAGACAAATTGGATCGCAGACTATTTCGTGAAAATAATGAATATCATACTTCATCATAGTACCATTGACTATCAATAAGGCATTTGAACTTTATGGGAGGAGCTTATTTTTGGCAAGTGCCGCGCCCACAGGGAAAATTCTTCTTCACGGTGCCTCCGCTCCCAATTTCCCATGCGAAAACCAAATAAGATTTCAGTAAATAAAAATTATTTTTGGAGAGTACTACATCTGATCTGTGCATCTTATCGAGTAGTTTTTTCATTTTTGATTCCATAACGAAGAAAGAAATTCACAAAATCGGTCAAAAACGCACTACTTCACAGGTGTTTATAAATTAGTGTATGTAAAAAAATGAAAATCCATTCGATAAGATGCATCGATTGCACCTTTGACTACCCAGGAAAAAAAAATTGAGCCTCTAGCATGATCCATAACCATAGGGGAACTTGGGAGCGGTACCTCGTTTATTGGCGGAGGCGCTGCGGAATATGCCCTCTTAAGACTTTGTTGGTAATAACTCATCTGTATCGCATCTATAGCTGGAAGTTTTTCATCGCAATTCCACTGAATCGAAAATGACAGTAACGCTCTGTATGTCACTCTGAGAATTACACTAACTAATTTGTGTTTTAATTGACATGACAACAATTGTTTCCCACATCAGATCAATCAAAGGTTAAAGGGGAATTTATATTACAATCAATTATTTTTTTTCAATATTTCTTCATTTTCACAATGAATAGTGCAATTTGATGGATGATTTTGTACAAAATTACTAAATACTGCAACAAAAAAACCTGAAATTTTCATATTGTGTCACCCACCACTCATATTTTGCGAGAATATTATATAAATGTTTTTCCCGCACTTCTGTGGGAAAAACCTTCCAGCACTAGTGTGCGAAAACTTTTTTGGCTCATTTCCTAGAAGTGTCTGAAACCTAGAGACCAAACACCTTATGGGCCTGCTGGCTTCCGCAATGAAATGCGTCAAACTGTAAGTTCACAATAGCTATATTACAATAATCAGTAGATAGAGAATATATTTCTCTTGTTAGTTGTTCTTATATATGAATGAATAATCGATTGAACATATCAATTAATAAGTTCCTACGCTTGTAGAAAAAATATTGTTCCAAACTCATGCGGAAAGTATCTTTCCGCACTTGTTAGGAAAAATACTATTTCGCTGATGCCTGTGTTTACTGTGTATCATAGCTTAATGAAATGAAAAATATGATTTCAAATAGACAGGGAATGAAATTGATATCTGATTTTGGCAGTCCTCGAACATTCACATGGACGTTGAACTGAAAAAATTGCGTATTGCATATTTAAATATAGATGAAAGGCATATGTAGGTAGTGATGAAATATATTCATTGATCAGTTCGACGAGTCCTTCTGTCAAAGTCAAAATCTATAAACTACCTACTTATGAACAAGAAAATGATGTTCGACTTGGTTGTGTACAATAAAACTTATTATTTAACAAAATATTACGTGAGTACATTCGTATGAACGTGTGAATGATTTGAGTGAGGATATAATCCTGAGAAAACTCGATTAGATTGATAATTTCTGGGATAGTTTTCATCCACAAATTTTAATGACTTTATAACAAGATCAGAGGCATGTTTTGGTCTTAGAAAAAAACATCTCCAGCCTGATGAAAATTCTACATATGAGGGAATTTGTATTAGGCTGAAAATGTTCTTTTCCGAGACCGGAACATTTTCGTGATCGTGTAACAACGACATTTCCATTTCGCAATAACCTTTCTTGGGAAAATCACGTGAGATCAATTGCTGAAAGTGCATATACCGGAAACTTGGTTTTCTATTTCGGGCCAGGAGCTATTCCACTTCCAGTCAGCTGCTTATGATTTATAAGGCACAGATTCGACCTGTCCTGGAATACTGTTCCCATATTTGGAGTGCAGCACCCAAACATACCCTGAAACTGTTGGATTCTGTCCGAAAAATGGCAATTCGTCTCGTGGGCGATGCTTCGCTCACAAACTCACTCACTTCTCTGGAACACCGTAGAAAAGTTGGCGATCTGCCTCTATTTTATAGATATTTTCATGGACGATGCTCCTCTGAAATATCAACAATTGTTCCTCCCTTGGCAGTACCCGCGAGATTTACCCGTCGAGTTGAGGCTTTGCACCCCATCGTGGTCACTTCCTGGAGACCTGCAGAACATCTCTTTCAAAATATTTGTTCATCCAACGAACAGCGAGGCTCTGTAACACATTGCCAAGGGAGGTGTTCCTCGAGGCATATAACCTCCAGGAATTTAAGCAGATCACCAATTCCTACCTTAACTCCCGCCCTTTGAAAAATTTCACTGCACTTTGAGCAATATGGACTTCTTCAAAAGATTCATGCATTAACATTTTTTCAGATGCCTACGGAATGTATCACGAACCCTTTACAAAGGGAATTGGCTGATTCCATAATAAGAATGGTTCCTCTCGATGAAATAAGGATTCTATTGGCTTGTGGGGCCAAGGTAAGATACGTAACTCTTCGGAAAACCATTTAGAAGCTAGACTTTTTATGTTTAAATTGCTCCCAAATGCCTGACGTAGCCTCCTTCCTCGGGTACTTTTAGAGACATTACTCGCAGGACATCACTATAATCACCTAGGAACAAACCAAATACTCAAAATGGTCACAAAGAGGAAGAAACTCAAAGTCATTACCACAATAATTCATGAAATAAACGAAAATGGTAGATAACGAGAGAAAAACAACTACTTTCCTGACTATATGCCACGCAGAACAGTTGCACTGATGAGACCCCAAAGCTCGAAGCCGGTCTGTAAGTAGTAAAGCGTACCTGAACAACTCAGCATCTAGGAAAGGATCACTTGCAGCAGTGTTCGAATTTACAAATCGTTGCATAGATATCGGGAGGATGTACTTCAATGTTCTGCGTGGCAAAAAAGTAGTCGTTTTTCTCTCGTTATCTTCCATGTTCGTTCATTTCATGATCAATTGTGATAATGACTTTGAGTCTCTCCCTCTTTGTGACCATTGCATTCCACTTTGAGTATTTGGCTTTTTCCTAGTTGAAAAAACGCCAGTCGGGCAATCAGTCACCCCTATTTCATCTGAAAATCAATTTCTTTTGGAGTGTTTCTTTCCTCCGACTCAGTTGGTGTTCGTGCATTACCCCCCCCCCCTCATACTAACAAGGCCTGAAGGCTCGTAGTGAACAGCTCGTGACGTCAGCTAAGTGAGGCCATTCATCCTTCGCGTGTCGACTCTGACTGTCGTCAGTTTGTTTAAGTATGTTTGAGAAGCGGTCGCGTGCCCGAATTCTTTTGTTGTTTATTCATCAAAATAATTAGCAGAAAGATTACTGTTTTGTGAAATATTTTGTGTTGTGATAGGCGAAATAACAATGCCTCTCAAGTGTTGTATTATCTTTTGTCGGGGGAATTAGGTGTGGGTGGTTCAAAAGTTCATGCTTTTAGTTTTTCGTTGGACAAGGAACTATCGAAAAAGTGGGTATATGTAATTCGCCGGGAGGATTTTACTCCATCTAAGTACAGTAGATTATGTGAATTATATTTTACCCCCCCCTCAAGGGAAAACGTTTGAATGATGTGTTTCAAGAACCAATCACAGCTGTAAATTTTTGTTCCGATGAAAAATTCATTTTCTTGCATAAAATGATAGATTGGTTAGAAACTTGAAAATATGCAAATTCTACTAATGAACTAACAAATCAAACACATACTGCTTTGATTCACACTATATATGGAATGACAAAAGTTATACAATATTGTTTTAACGAACTCAGTATGAATTATGTTTTACTAGGAAAATTTCAAACAGATGATTTGGAACATAGGTTCGCGGAATTTATCGACAAATTTCAGGTGGACAATATCACATATCTAATCGACAATTGTATGAATCGGAAGAAAGGCTCAGAATTCAATCACTGCTCACGCTAAAATCTCATACTTACGGTAATATACAAATCAGGCGCTTCCACGAAAATATTGATTTCACCGAGAAAATCCAAGAAAATCATTCTTTCAATCCAGATATCATAGTCGTGGAATCTGATATAGATATATATAGTGATGACATGCCGGAAATAGCCTATTTAGCAGGTTATTATTGCTATATTACACTTGAAAAAATTCAGTGCGAATTTTGTAAACAGAACTAAATTTATAATGATGAATTAATAATAGAAGACAATTACTCTCTCATAAATAGTATGAGAGAGCTTTGATTGTGCAGTTAGTTTGGTATTCGTATATTATACTCAACAAAATCATCTCTGCAGTCGAGAAAATATTCTTGAATGTTGGACAAGCAAATATCACCTGAAGGTCAACGACAAGCGAAACGGTTCATCCACCATTCGCAAATCCGAGCCAAAGAGCTAATCAGCCTCAGCAAACCGGAGCTGAAGCTTATTACAGGCTTTCTCACAGGACACTGCCCTCTGAGGAACCAACCCAAAAGGATGAGTCTTGCGGAGACTGACACTTTTTCCGCTTTTGTCAGCTGAATCGCCTAGAAGAGGTCTTTAACGCCTGCTGAGGAGGAAAAATTCTAGGCTTCATTAGAAGTCTAGGGTTAGAGGAGTGAAACTAGATAAGGGTTATCACAATAGATCTACTAGGTCGCAGTTATCGAGAGGTCTCCAAAACTATACGACCCACCTACAATCTACAGAGGGTTATCATTAAAGGCAAATAATACTTCCAACTTCAACATCCGGTATCTTAAAAACGAAGCAAGATGCACGCTAGGACACATATTTACATCATTATATCATCATGAGCTTTATCCCTTGAAATATCACGAGGAATCATCCCCTGAAGTTTGTGGAAATTATTCACTAACACCCTGTATATAAGTTATATGCATATTCGAACTAAATGCACGGCCTCATTTTCTTGTCAGTTATCTTTCATACGAATTATTCTTCAAGGTCAACGAACCTGTTACACAAGGTCTCATGCCTTTACATTATGCAGTTTGGCAACGATACTACGAGGCGGCTCAACTTCTATTGACAAGAGGCGGTGATGTCAACGCGACAGATGAATGCGGATATAGCCCTCTACATTTGTCAGCTGAACATGGGTAAGTATTATATCCAGTCGAACAGATGCTGGTAAGAGATATCAAACATTATTATCCGCCCTTTTGTTTTGAAAGAGAATATTTATCGGAAATTTTGAAGTCTTTCAAAAAGCGTGTAGGAGCCTTCAAAGCTGTGGAGGGGAAGGAAGGCGGTTACTTCTAACAGATCATCGATACAGAGTAGGAACAATGTTTTGGTGCCAAAATTGATCTTTGTGGGCCGCTGGAATTGATAACAATGGTATATCAGACGAAACTACGTCTACCACTACATGCATATGGAGCGATTCGTCGAAACAAAACCGAATAAAAAAGGCTGAGGTGGTAAGCCATATCATGGATGGTAGTTTGTGAAAAAGTCCTTGGTGCCAAGCACGGTCGATATAGCTAACGCCACAGCTAGAAATTCATCATGTTTTTTCTTATGAAGCTTGCTATAAATGGGTGACATAGGCAAGATAACGCCAGTTTATCCTCGGAAGCCATATATTGTCTATCATTCATGATTCCTTATAGCTCTCCAGATGTTTGATAAGCTCAATGTTAATGGTTTTCCCCATGATTGGCCAATAGTTGTTCTCCTTTTTTTGGTATTTGTTCGACTTTAGCTGTTTTCCATCAGGATACGAAAACAACTGACCTGTACACCTTTTGAGAGCAATTGGTGGAATTCTATCAGCATCGTTAGCGTTATTCGTTTTGAGACAAATCAGAATGCATGTGATAGTGCGTTGGCGGAAGACGATTTTGTGCATTCGACTTTCAACGGGTGGACTATTGGTATTGGTATTGGTAAGTTTGGATGGTGACAGATGCGCTGCGACCTTATTAGATCTATTGTGCCCCATCTTGTTCTGCTATCTCAGATTTTCTTGTTAAGAGCAGCTCCTAGAGCTTCAATTCTTTTAGGAAAATTTTGAGGAGATCTGTTCGTGGCATTTCTTCCACGGTCAGCTGGTATACTCTCAGTATATTCGATCTTTTGTGGTGTACAGCAAGACACTCCAGCAAGATGTGTCCTCCTCTAAGCAAAGCTTTCTTAAGTAGTGTACTTTGAGTCTACAATTAGAAATCCCGTTATTGCTTTGAGACTAATTTGCTGAGATTGATTAGTGTCTTCGATCTTGCTCGGTTGAATTTGTCGAAGAGATATTTTTCCTGCCACAGTCCTGGAAGTATTCGCCAGTGTGTTGCTCTCATTGCTTCTTCAGGTTTATTAAGTTCTTCTTGGAAATAGGAATTTCCAAGGCCGCAGAATGGTTCTGGTCCGATGTCTGCTTGTTCATTTCCCTTATTACCAATTACCTTATTGTTCCTGCCTAGAATGTTGAGTTTGTCTAGGCATTCCCAAACCATCTTTGAGTTGGTGTTGAAGGAGCTCGACGCTTTGAACGGGTGGAATATCTGGCAGCACTCTCCCCTGGGATCGAGGTGGATATTTCTGCGAACATTTCTGCAAAAATGTACGCTTTCTCTCACGACTGCTTTACCGGGGGACCAAAACGTACGGGACCATTGTGACAGTATATGAGTTTTGAGTGATGATACCATGGTTGTGTCCGATGCAATTTCTGAAATCGATTCATAGATCTGATTTGACATATTTCTAGGTTTTAGGCTCATGCAAAAGGGTTTTTTATCAATGAGTATATTTTCAGAGTCATATTATGTCCTTCAGGAGAGTAAGATTTGGAATTCGCTCGCTTATAATTGAAATATCACACCAATTTAACGAGGGTTCCATTTTGAAATATTTCTGTATCAGTGAGACTCAGTGTGGAGTGGCTGGTTGCCCGACTGGCGTAATTTCAACTTCGAAATAGCCACATTGTTCAAAATGGAATGAAATGTTAAATAAATAGGGAAAGCTCAAAGTCATAAACACACAATAATGTTCATGAAATGAACAACAATGGTAGATTTAGGGAGAAAAACAACTACTTTCCTGACTAATGCCACGCAGAACATCCCCCCGAAATCTATGCATCGACTCGTATAAACTAGAGTCACTGGGTGGTAAAAGTTGAACGAATACTGGTACAAGTGATTTTTTCCTGAATGCCTATCGATTCCGATTTAGGTGTCTAGCGTGGCCTGCCTAAATTGGAATCAATATGCATTCAGGTAAGAATCACTTGTATCAGTATTCGTTTATACGAGTCGATGCATAGATTTCGGGAGGATGAAATTCAATGTTCTGCGTGGCATCAGCCAGGAAAGTAGTTGTTTCTCTCCCGAAATCTAACATTGTTGTTCATTTCATGAACATTGTGTGGAAATGACTTTGAGCTTCCAGTATTTATTCAACATTCCATTCCACTTTGAGCATTGTTACTATTTCGTAGTTGGAATTCAATAAATGATAATTTTGAAAATCAAATTAAATTCCATCAAATTACTCTCAAACCAAATAGAATATCGAAAGTATTCAAGTTAGGCAAGAGTGAATGGGAAAATGAAGAAATGTTTCCAAGTCTGGTCAGAGGCGTACTCAGAGAAAGTTCAATCGATTTTTTTTAACAATATAGTACTCAAAATATGTTCCACGCACCCTGTCGATCGAGGTGTGAAGACAATATATTCTCACATACCAATGTATGCGTTCTTAGTGAACCTACAAAATTTCAGTGATCAGATATATCAACAATATTGAAATATTGAAGATGTTTCATGTGTATACTGCAGGTTATATTTCAATGTCCAATATCTCGATAACGAACCGTTCTAGAGAATATGTCCATGAGAAGATATAGTATTATTACCTCGATTTCTATCTATCTCTTGCATTCAAGACTTTGTCCTATCACGTTGATTTTTCGATTTTTTTTTCGCAACTTCGACGCAGTCTGCCGGCACTTTAGCCACCGGAAAAAGGTGTGCCAATAATCAAACTACCTTTCTGACGTCACATACTATAGCACATGAATGTTTATGACTGAACAAATGACATTGATTACTCTCGAAATTCTGCAAATTTCCCAGCTCGCCCCCATATAAGTCTCCCAGACCGAATAGGCAAACTCGCGGCTCAAACAAACAAACAAACAAACAAACAAACAAACAAACAAACAAACAAACAAACAAACAAAGAAACAAACAAACAAACAAACAAACAAACAAACAAACAAACAAACAAACAAACAAACAAACAAACAAACAAACAAACAAACAAACAAACAAACAAACAAACAAACAAACAAACAAACAAACAAACAAACAAACAAACAAACAAACAAACAAACAAACAAACAAACAAACAAACAAACAAACAAACAAACAAACAAACAAACAAACAAACAAACAAACAAACAAACAAACAAACAAACAAACAAACAAACAAACAAACAAACAAACAAACAAACAAACAAACAAACAAACAAACAAACAAACAAACAAACAAACAAACAAACAAACAAACAAACAAACAAACAAACAAACAAACAAACAAACAAACAAACAAACAAACAAACAAACAAACAAACAAACAAACAAACAAACAAACAAACAAACAAACAAACAAACAAACAAACAAACAAACAAACAAACAAACAAACAAACAAACAAACAAACAAACAAACAAACAAACAAACAAACAAACAAACAAACAAACAAACAAACAAACAAACAAACAAACAAACAAACAAACAAACAAACAAACAAACAAACAAACAAACAAACAAACAAACAAACAAACAAACAAACAAACAAACAAACAAACAAACAAACAAACAAACAAACAAACAAACAAACAAACAAACAAACAAACAAACAAACAAACAAACAAACAAACAAACAAACAAACAAACAAACAAACAAACAAACAAACAAACAAACAAACAAACAAACAAACAAACAAACAAACAAACAAACAAACAAACAAACAAACAAACAAACAAACAAACAAACAAACAAACAAACAAACAAACAAACAAACAAACAAACAAACAAACAAACAAACAAACAAACAAACAAACAAACAAACAAACAAACAAACAAACAAACAAACAAACAAACAAACAAACAAACAAACAAACAAACAAACAAACAAACAAACAAACAAACAAACAAACAAACAAACAAACAAACAAACAAACAAACAAACAAACAAACAAACAAACAAACAAACAAACAAACAAACAAACAAACAAACAAACAAACAAACAAACAAACAAACAAACAAACAAACAAACAAACAAACAAACAAACAAACAAACAAACAAACAAACAAACAAACAAACAAACAAACAAACAAACAAACAAACAAACAAACAAACAAACAAACAAACAAACAAACAAACAAACAAACAAACAAACAAACAAACAAACAAACAAACAAACAAACAAACAAACAAACAAACAAACAAACAAACAAACAAACAAACAAACAAACAAACAAACAAACAAACAAACAAACAAACAAACAAACAAACAAACAAACAAACAAACAAACAAACAAACAAACAAACAAACAAACAAACAAACAAACAAACAAACAAACAAACAAACAAACAAACAAACAAACAAACAAACAAACAAACAAACAAACAAACAAACAAACAAACAAACAAACAAACAAACAAACAAACAAACAAACAAACAAACAAACAAACAAACAAACAAACAAACAAACAAACAAACAAACAAACAAACAAACAAACAAACAAACAAACAAACAAACAAACAAACAAACAAACAAACAAACAAACAAACAAACAAACAAACAAACAAACAAACAAACAAACAAACAAACAAACAAACAAACAAACAAACAAACAAACAAACAAACAAACAAACAAACAAACAAACAAACAAACAAACAAACAAACAAACAAACAAACAAACAAACAAACAAACAAACAAACAAACAAACAAACAAACAAACAAACAAACAAACAAACAAACAAACAAACAAACAAACAAACAAACAAACAAACAAACAAACAAACAAACAAACAAACAAACAAACAAACAAACAAACAAACAAACAAACAAACAAACAAATCTGTCCTGTTCACAATATTAGTATAGATGTGGCTGACCGACTTTGAGTTCATTTTCTCCTCTGAGAAACGCTAATGTCGCTCTTCCAGATACACGGAAGTGGTCCGGCTGCTGCTCGCCTCGGGCGCCAAAGTCGACTACCGGCCGAACACGGCCGAAGAGTTCCCGCGCACCACGCAGTGCGACGAGCCGCTGCGTCTGGCCATCCGCAACAAGCACACGGAGATCGCAAGGATGCTGCTCGAACATGGCGCCGATCCCAACAAAAGGTTCGTATGAGACTCCTTTGATAAGATTTTCCCATTAGAGACCATTGAACTCAATATAAACACCTCTGGAAGGGACCAAAAATATTGTTCAGGCAACCCGCAGTGTTTATACACGGGAAAAATGGTCCAAGTAAAACGTTTTCTTGACACATTTCGTTTTGTTATAAGAGAAATAATACCTATTACAGAAACAATTACCTTTCGCCTCTAGAAAAATGATAATTCTGAACGCATCAAACTTGTAGCTATAATATCATCCACCTACAGCTAATAGTTTTCATCCTAGATAATTCACTTTGTATAGTCCTAGGTCGACATTTCATAAGCGCTGGTGAGGTGTATTCTAATATTCATTAACTTCGAGTTTCTGGAAAGGAAATAATTACAACAGAAACTCGAGTCACAAGCACAATGCAATTGTTTTTTGCGGTAAAACCTAATATTCCTACGGTAACATAACATGTTGACCTAATATATCAATCGGAAGTAATTGGGAACAATCGCCGGGATGTCTTTCATATTTCCATCCATCCATATTATAACTATTTATAAAGAGTGTTTCATTGGAAAAGGTGAATAGTTCAACTGTGGATAGGGGTCACTGGAGTGATTTCAATATTTTTGAAAATTGGTACACTTACTCAATCTATCCTATCGAATTGATTGAGGCATCAACAAAAGATAAAATCCATGTCCGACTTTACCTAAAATAAACAAATTTTTTCTGCCCAAAAACAACACCCTATACATTTGAATTTTGCAATTTTTTTGGCAATATCTCAGAAGAGCATCAACATGTTTATTCAATGATGTACTTTTTATTCATGCACAGACTTTTTTTTTACTACTCATATTTTGTCTCAAAATATTATTTTTGCTCATTTTGGGTTATGAAGTGAAATCAGACGAAGATTTATTGATCGTACTTTGGTATCCATCCAGACTTTTAGAAATCATAGTTGCAGGTCCGTCATCAAAACTATACAGGGCTTTTCACGATAAGCGTTAATTAGACTTTTTTGGCAAACCAGGCAACGGATAGATCTGAAAACAGGTATGTATAAATTAACATAATCTACACGTCTGAAATATTTGAAACGATCCGGCGTTGCCGCTTCCACTAGGAAGTAGCAGCAACTTCGATTTCTCAAATGGAACACCCTCTATTTCATTACATTCTTGGATTCTTCCTGAAGAGCTGATGCGATCGATTCACAACATTCGGGGTCTATCGGGACTGATAACTGATATATAGGGTGTGAAAAATCGAGATGCTCCAATTTTAGAATTTTTTTGTGATGAAACTATTTATGATTGCATGGTCAAAACGGCTTCCATGTCCCTATCTCAACTTTTCATTCACTATGAATTGATATTCAATGGAAAAAATACAGGGTTGTGCATAATTCTGAATTATTAACCACCCTGTATTTGTTTTGATTAAATGTCAATAGGTAGTACCTAGATAAGGAGTTGAGATAGGGACATGAAAGCCGTTTTGATCAACAATGAATATTTTTGCCACAAAATATTTCTAATGTTAAAACATCTCGATCTTTCACGCTCTGAATATCTCAGTTATTTGTCCCACTAGACCCCGAACGTTGTGAAGAATTCAGGGTGTCCCATTTGAAAAATCAAAGTTACTGCTACTTTCTAGTAGAAGCGGCAACGTTAGATCGTTTCGAATATTTCAGACGTGTAGATCATGTCAATTTATATACATACCTTTGGATTTTCAGATTCATCCGTTGCCTGGTTTGTCAGAAACGTCTAATTAACGCTCATCGTGATCGTTTCAAGGATTTTTTGTGTCGAAACTATTCATAATTGGTCAAAACGGTTTCCATGTCACTATCTCAACTTTTTAAGTACTATCAAGTATCAATTGAAATTCGATTCAAATAGATACATGGTGGTCAAATATCTTGATTCTGAACCACTCTGTATTCATTTCAATTACATATCAATTGATAGTGAATTAAACGTTGGGATAGGGACATGAAAACCGTTTTGACCAATTATGAATAGTTTCGACACAAAATATTACTAAAGTCGAAAAATCTCGATTGTTCACATCCTATAACTCTGTAATTATTACTGTTAGACCCCAAGTATTATAGATCAATGAAAAATTTGAAGATGTAATAATATACAGGGTGTCCCATTTAAAAAATCAAAGTTTTCGCTACTTTTAAATATAAGCGGCAACGTCGCAACACTGAGAATATTTTGGGTCGATAGAACACAATTAATCATCCAAAGCACCAACTTTTCAGGATTATCCTGTGTTGCGTACTTCAGAAAAGTCTAATGTGCCATTCACCGTGAATCAGCCTGTATATTCTAATCCACATGTTGAGTTTTACACTGGTCTAAATATTGAAAATAAGTGCTCATAGTGATAATAGGTCCATATTTCGGTTTCACATAATCAAAATGATTGAGAAATATTGCTAGTGGTGAAAAAAATGTAATATAAACCTTGGTAGCAACGAATAGTATTACCACCGGACCTTATATCCCTCAGCTGAAGTCTCTGGATATAATCTTGGTCCCTGGGTAATAATGATATCCTTGGCGTATAAATAACTATTGTCACATCTACTCAAATAGGGTCAGAAAAAAATAGACATGAAATCGCGAATATATCTTCAGAAGTATTCGGAATTCAATTTTCAACCCTATTCGTAGCTCTTACCGTTTTCGAGATCCCCATATGCATCTACTCGAATTTCACTCACCCGGTATGCAGTCCTCAAGTATCAAAAAGTGAAACTATGTTCCATAGGTACTTCTTCGGCGCCGAGATTAACCTGGTTGCGGATCTGGAGTTCCTCGAGCTGCTGCTTACGTTCGGCGCGAATCCTGATAGCAGAGACAGGTCGGGGTTGACGCCGCTGATGAAGGCTGTGAGGCTGCCGCAGGTAAGAGTACTTCACGTGATTGTAGGCATAAAAAATGATAATAATGAGAAGAATAATAATCATGATAATAATAATAGCAAGTATCGGCAGCGGCTCTGACAGATTTGGTCATCAGAACTGTCGGGAAAGAACAAAGTCGCTGCTACTAACATGCTTGCTAATCCGATCCCACTTTACTCATTTGGAGTGATAAAGTGGACTCAAGTCGAGCTGCGACAACTTGACGTAAGTACTCGCAAGATGATGTATTTCCATTGGAATCTGCATCCAAATTCGTCCGTTCCACGGTTATACATACCTAGAGACCAGGGTGGCCGTGGACTCTTGAGCTTGGAGTATCTCCATAGCAGAATGGTTCTGGATGGCGCCTACAAAGTCACCAGGAGTTCGGATCTCCTCCTGCAAATGGTTAAAACCCATGAAGAGGCAGCAGTTACTGAGCTAGAGCCCGCTTGGAGGAAGTCCCGCATCAAAGCTGCAGAAGTGAGAAAGCTCCTGCAGCTTCACATGGATAAGCCCATGCATTCGGTCTACTTCAAGACCATTGAAGACCGGGGCTTATCCAAAGAACTGACTTTTGCTTGCACAGAGGGGTTTATCATGGCGTGCCAGGATATGGTTTTTTTATACTCTCGTCTACCGTAGCCGTGTCACGGGTATAGAGGTCCCTGACACAAATTGCACGGTCTGCCGCAGGGCGCCTGAGACAATTATGCACCTGCTGTCTCCTTGCACAGTGTAAGCAGTCTCGGCCTATATCCACAGACACAATGCGGCATTGCGACTGCTCTACTATCATTTGAGGCACTCGTACGGAATAGATGAGACCCTAGTGCTGCCCTATGCTCCGGGGGATATTGAGTCCGTAGTGGAGGATGAGAGGTGCCGAATCCATTGGAACTTCTCATTCCCCACCCTCAAAAAAAAAGGAAAGGGAGGGTAGAGGACCCACCACCACCCCTGCTCTCCTGAGCAGGCCTCATTGAAAGAGTTATCGAAGTTGATTGTATGTTGTTGTATGTTTGTATTTGGACATAGAATAATGCTTGAATATCCAAGATGTTCACTGTAGTACCTCAGTCTTACCTTCAGTGTGATATATGCTGTACGGAAGTTGGGAGAGGAAGTACCCAGACAGCACTGGATATTCATAGAATATTCTCTAAATATGCTAAAAAGGAGGAGTATATTCCGAATATTCATCGATTATTCCAAGAATATATACATGCCTCTGGAACATCTAAAAGGAATATTCCAAAGTGAATAGTCGGACATGTTCAGGGAATATTCAGGTATGAATCTTCCAGGAATATTCCCAACTGAATATTCTCTGTTGTATATTCATGAAATATACCCAACTGAATATTCTGTGCGGTATATTCATGAAATATACCCAACTGAATATTCTGTGCGGTATATTCATGAAATATTCTCAACTGAATATTCTCTGGTGTATATTCATGAAATATTCCATGAATATTCCTATGTTTCTCAACACATAAATAACATTTATTATTTCAGAGATGTGAGTATCGAACATCAATTAGATGTAAGGGGATTTTGAAACAAAAAGTGTTTATGATCCGATTTCGAACAATGCTCTCACAAGAACTTGATATGTATAACATTATTCAATTCGATTACTGGCCTAGTGGTCAAGGCGTTGCTCTGATAGTCCTGAGGTCACGAGTTCGATCCCTACTTGGGTCACTTTTTTCAATTTTAGAATATGTTTATTGGAATATTCCAGGAACATTCAACATAGAATATTCTTTTGGGTATATTCTATGATTATCTGAGGAATTCCCATTCGCATATTTAGAGAATATTCCACAGATATTCCGGAATATTCCCGATTATTTCTAGAATATTCCAATATTCCAAAAGGAATATGATAGGGAGATTCATGGAATATCTGGTGCTGTCTGGGTATAATGCAGAATTTTCACAGTAATCTTAGTCTAATACGGGTTTTCCCGTGTACATGCGGTTAGATATAGACTTACATTAAATTAATAAAATTCTATCAATTTAATACTAGGAAAAGTTTTGACTCTGGTCTCTCACAATGCATGATCGTTTTTGATGAAGCTTGAGAGAAAGTTGATGTCGGCAGATCATTTCTGCCAAAGTGGCAGGGCCCAATGGGGCATATGCGGTAATAGCCAGTCTTTCGCCGGCGAACGCCTCGCAGTCCAGTAATCTGTGGGCTGGCGTGTCCGGCACGAAACAAGTGGAGCAGACCGGATTGTTAGCCTTGCCTATCCTATGTAGGTGGTGATTCAGGTTGCCGTGGCTCGAGATTTCAGCCGTACCTGTTCCCGATCTAGCGAGGTTGATCTGGGCAATGTATATAATTCTGTCAAAGTTATTGACCATAATCTGTATTCGAAATGGTGTCCTTGGTACGCTTTATGTACGATTGGCATCTACTGGAGATAGCATCGTACTTATGGTCTCTTATTCCGGCTTTCTTGCAATTCAGGCAGGTTGGGTCGGCCTCCTTATTGTTGCACTTGCTGGTTTCATTATTTTCTGCGCAGTGTCCGCAGGCAGCTGGGCTCTGGCAGTCCTTCTGCATATGACCAAACTTTTGGCATTTAAAGCATCTGACGACTCTGACATGGTCTGGTACTGTGCATGCTGACCAGCCTATGTATATACTGCCTTTTTCTAGCAGGGCATTTCGTGTCTCAGGGCTTCTTTCAATCACCCAATGTGTGAAGTTTCTGTCTCGGGGGCCAAACTTAGCCTTGATCTCGAGAACATAGCTGTCGTCGTCGCTTAGATTGGATTGGATTTCATTTTGTAGGGAGTCTGCTGAGTGTTCGTTAGGAACGCCGTAGATGGCTAATCTAGGCCGAAGTTTGCGAGGTAGTGACATTTGTAAGCCAGCTTTTCTTAGAGCTTCATTGTCGACTTTTGCTGGGTCGATCTCGGCTGCTTCTATCCTGATACCATTTTTTCCCGTTCTTAACAGTCTGTCTGTTTTGATACCCAGTGCTGCTGGGGTGACTTTGCTAATTAATGCTTTGCGAGTATCATCGCAGGATTTGAGGCTGGTAGAGCTCGCCAAAGGCGTGATTATCATGGCTGCTTTTGGTTTCGGGATGACTGACTTGACTGTCCCGGTGTTGACCCTGGGGTTTAGCAGCGTCTGCGTAGGATCGGCCAGGCTGCATAGGCTGTCCAATCTTGTCTGTTAAGGCTTCAATCTTGAGATCGAGGTCGCTGAGCCTCTTGGCGAAGCGCTCGCTGGCGGAAGACTGTGCATATAAGCTAGTCATTTTAATGAACATTGTACTGAGTTTTTCAATGCCCGCATATACCTCATTTTTCTTGGGTATTGTATCTTTGAGGGAACCAACAGTTGAGAGGACTTGAGTCCTCAGATCGGCATATTCGCTGACAAAGTTTGCCAGATTGTTTGACGCAGTAGGCGTTAGAGTTTTAAGGCATTGACTCAGGAAATCATCTTGTGATTCTGTTAGTGATTCTGAAGCCAATGAGGAGAAAGATCCCGTGGGGGATCTGATCATGTTGCCTGCCAGCTGGGAGAGGGCAGCGCCCTTCCCTCTTGGTCCTTAGCGGTACCAGGAGCTTATGCCGTGGGGTGTCGGAGGTAGTGCCACGAGTTATGGCCTGGAGTCGTTGCCCGCCTTTCACCAACTAGGAGGTGGACCACCAGATATCCGTGTTTGTCTGTTTCAGACGCCAAATAATACCTCTATTCGAGTTGCCCTAAATTGAATACAATCCAAATATTATTACAGCTCATCAAAGTCCAACAGTTTTATGCACAGTATGAAACGCAATAAAGCAATTAATTCTCAAATTAGGTATATCTGGCGAAAGGCGAAAGATTTATTCGCAATGAAGAGAGACCCCACCCTCACCCAAATACAAGCTAACAAGCCTGGTGTAGTCCTCCTCGACCATCAAACCAAAGCGATGTTCGTGATCGATTTTTCGGCGCCAGCTGAACCAAACATCGTTTTGAAGGAGGAGGAGAAACGGACTATATATCGAGATCTCCTCTTCGAACTCCACAGGCTCTATACAGACCATTCTGTGGAATTGGTCATCCTGATAATCGGCTCCCTAGGAGGCACACGAAATACGCTGCTCTCGGAAATCCAAAAAATCCCAGCGTGCAGCGATAAGGCACACATCCTGGCTGATGGTGGAATGCAGATGGCCGTCATACTTGGATCATTGCGTTTACTCAGGGCACACGGTTCTTGGTCCCAGTGGTTATTCACCCCACAGGCTGTGGGGAGTAGTCACTGGATCTTATTCATATATGAATTCGAATAGCTACCTAAAGAGTTTTATTCAAGGTCTTTATTTTCTCTATTATTGTAAAATAGTTCGATAATGTTTTTGGCAGTATTGACTAGGGTAAATATCTTCTTCTGATTGTTGCAGGGCATGGATGCCGTTTTATTGTTGCTCAAATATGGTGCAGATGTGAATGCTATTGCAGATGAACGACATGATTATAGAACAGTGAGTATTTTCAAGGTCATTAGAAACTATCACAATAGCAATTTCACTCACAGACGGCATGTGAAAGAATTGTTAAATTCTTCAGGTTCTACATTATGCAGTACTATCTGGAAACTACGAAATTGTCAATTTGATGATAAAACAAGGAGCCAAACTGAACTACGATGAAGAATACGATTTAGGGAAACCAAGTCCTCTGGATTTAGCGATACTCAAAGGTGACCCGCATATTGTCGAGATGCTCATAAGATCTGGTGAGTATATATGTAGGCTTTGCTACTGACTCCATACCTCACCTCAGTACTGTTAATTGAAATGCAACAGTAAATCATTGATCCAAAAGTTCACCTTTTCTTATGTTATAACTCGAGAATAGATAGTTTTGACACTTGTTAGGTATTTCTGTTAGAAACCTCAAAGTTTCACTTCGAAATAATCACATCGGAAATATTAATTTATATGTATGTGCTATATCTTGCTGGAAACATATGAGAATCTGTTAGCAATATATCAATAGATTTTTTAATTTTCAGGTGCTAACGTGAATTGCAGCTCTCCCATAATAGGATCACCTTTGCACGTAGCTTGTGCTGACAATATACCAAATAGACTGAACATTATAACGGTGAGCAACCTTTTTTATTACTAAGAAAGCAATCACAAAGACTGGCATCATCATTGATTTTCATTCTACAGGGTGGTTTAGATTTGAATGTACATACGATACCTGTAGATAGAGGACACTCTAATATGATTCCAAAACACCTCCCATTGATGTGTCTACCGTATTTTATTACTGAGATACAGGAGTACAGAATGGTTATCTTGATTTTGGTAAAATGTTCATCTGGTCTTAATTTTTGAACCACTTTGTATAATCTAATTCAGAATCGCTAGATATATTCCACTTATATTACCGATGAGAATTAAATGGACAAATAGATCGGAATCCAGGTCAGTCTCTAGAAAAACCATCAAATTCCAACTTTATTAGAGTCGAATTAGGTGAACTCTCGACTGATTTGTTCAGTTGACAAAATAACTACAATAATATAGATATTCAATACGAAACTGTAAATTTTTATGAACGAAACATTAGAATTTTGAATTGACTCGGCCGTTACTTGATGGAAATCCATGATAAATGTAAAAACTTCACAAACGATAAGATTTCCACAAAATTTTTTAAACACACGACATGTTTCGCTAACACAGTAGCTTCGTCAGGTACTGGTACAATGAACTAAACTAACGTTGGCTTGCTTAACTTTTATATATCTTACCTTCCCAACCTGAAGGATTATTTGCCTGTGGACAGGTACGATAAACCTCCATTTTCGGAAAATAGGCACAATATCTACATTTAAATAATGTGTATCGAATTAACTTGAAATGGTTGATAGCAAATACTTATTATTACCTACTAAGAATACAAATTTAACAGTGGTGTACTATGTAAAATGTTAGAATTAGATTTTATATAAATTAGGAATTCCCAAATTCATGGTCATCACACTAGACAATATTACTTGTTTCATCTCGAAGCTGCGAATTCTAAAATTGGACAAAAAAATAAGGAGATTTCGAAATTCGATGAATTACCAGATTATGTCAAAAATAGCGCAAATATTATACAATTCAAAAATAAAGTGGAGAAATATATTTGTATGCAAAGGAATGATCAAAGCTGGAAGACTTTATGAATTTCCTTTTTTTTTTTGTTTTTTTCTGTATCAATATTGTTCACCATAATATAAGTACTGTTATTACATTCCTTAATGATATGTGAGTTTTCTTCACTATTTGTAATTTCAATTATACAACAGTCGATAATACTTCATCTTATACCAGGAATTACTGTCTGATCATTCATGTCATTCCTACTAGAAAATTAATTATACTTTATATAGAACATTCCAGCACTTTCCGAAGTTCCGAGTTCGAAGAATTAGAAATAATCTATTGACTGAGTAGGTATAACACAGTTGCTTTGTTGATTCCATGATACCTATATTTATTATATATCAGGTATAAGGCTGGTAGGTTTATTGAAAGAAATATAAATAGGTTCGTATTATGAAAAGACAAATTGGATCGCAGACTATTTCGTGAAAACAATAAATACCATACTTCATCATAGGACCATTGACTATCAATAAGGCATTTGAATTTTATGGGAGGAGCTTATTTTTGTTAAGTGCCGCGCCTACAGGGAAAATTCTTCTTCACGGTGTCTCCGCTCCCAATTTCCCATGCGAAAACCAAATAAGATTTCAGCAAATAAAAATTATTTCTGAAGAGTACTACATCTGATCTGTGCATCTTATCGACTAGATTTTCAATTTTTGATTCCACAACGTAGAAAAAAATCGGTCAAAAACGCACTACTTCACAGGTGATTATAAATTAGTCTATGTAAAAACATGAAAATCCATTCGATAAGATGCATCGATTGCACCTTTGACTACCCAGGAAAAAAAATTGAGCCTCTAGGATGATCCATAACCATAGAGGAACTTGGGAGCGGTACCTCTTTTATTGGCGGATGCGCTGTGGAATATGCCCTCTTAAATAGATAAATCCATTGAGAGATCACTTTTATTCTTCAGATAAACGAGCACGTTCGAATTGTCATCAATTTTATTAGTGTGAGTAGGTACCACCTATTGATGACGACCAGTGGCGTAGCGAGAGGTGTCGGGGCCCCGGTGCAAGGGCCCTAATTCACTGAGAATATTTTCCAACCCTAGAGTAAGTAGCGAATATACACTCACCGGCAAAAAAATCCGGCTACCATAAAATTTCGCCCTGTAACTTTTTTATTTCTTGTCCGATTTTGGTGAAATTTTGACCAAACCGTAAATTCATGTTTCGGAATATTTTCTTGAATATTAGATCCCGAGGAAAGCTGATGGTTTGATCATTATTCAGGGACAAACAAAAGTTAATCTAATTTCCTATTGCCCTGTGGAAAAAGTGAGTGGTTAAACTTGGCTTCATTATGTTTAGGATTGAACTGTGATTCTTTCTTAATACAATTGTTCTTGATCCACGTCGATAACCACTTTTTAACAGAAGATTACAGTGTTTTAAGAAAGTATCGATGTTGAAGCCTCCCAAGGTATTTATTATGAGGTTCAACAAGTTTTTAACATAAAAAATGAAATTAAATCTTTATTTTGACAAATTCGAGGATTATTCATTTTCTGACAAAACATTCCATCCAAAATTCAATTATTTCATGGCATTATATATGAAAAAAAAAATCTTGATGTAAGTGTCAACAATCGATTTCTTTCATTTTTATTAACAATTATTCAGAACCATTCTTCAACCTTCTGCTTCATCATGTTTTGAATTGAAGTATGATCCTTTATAGATGAGTGCTATAAAAATGAGGTAGAAATTAGTAATATTGATTCCTCAAGTTGTCAATCAATAAGTTGTAGTAGGTTATTGTTGAAAATAATTGAAAAATGCCATAATTTCTATATACACTCGTATATTCTCTTAAAAACGAGTTATTGACGTGAATCAGAAACCATTGTGTTAGGAAGGGATCAAACTTCAATCCAGAGCATAATGAAGCCATCAAGTTCAATAACTCAATTTTGCCACATGGCATTAAGAAGTAAAGGGTGAAATAGTAACTTTGGTATTTCCCTGTATAATGATCAAGTCATCAGTTTTTCACAGAAACTAATATTTAGACTAACATTCCGGAACATTAATCTACGATTTGATCGAAATTTCACAAAAATCTGATAAGGATTAAAAAAGTTACAGGGTGAAGAATTTGGGCAACATTTTTGGTGGCCGTTTTTTTTGCCGGTGAGTGTATAGTATTGAAAATATTCATAAAATGAGAACAAAACACAATCCGGTTATGGCTGGGCCCCGGTGCACCGCATCGAACTGCCCTACGATAACTACGCCACTGATGACGACTCGAAGTTAATTCAAACAAGAAGTATGTAATCTGTTGTTCTCTTTAACATAACATCAACTTTTGGAAAATCCTTGCATCAAATCTTCACATAATATAGAGTATCATCATATTTCCAAACTGAGTACATTTTTGATACCTTTATCGAAAATAAGTTTATTTTATGAACATGCTTACAGATGCTTCTGAAAGCGGGGGCCGATCCAAATTTGAAGGTTTATGGCGACGAATTCGAGAGAAACTCGCAACTAAGGCCTGTTTTGGTAGAATATTTAGCAAGCAACGAACATCCTAATGTAGCTGTCGTCCACTTACTGCTTCAACATGGAGCCAAGGTAAGCATTCAAGCTTTTTTTGATACAAACGTCGAAAGATCGGTATATCACCGTCATGTTCCACCCACTGACCAATATACAGGGTGTTAACAAATAAGTGTCACAACGGAAAACTGGAGATTCCTCATGAAAAAAGAGCCATTCTGCATTCAAGACTATTCACTTGACAATCAGGTGACATATTATGAAATTCGATGAATTGACCCCAATTTAGTCCAACTGACGTATTCGGCCAATTGGCGTATTCGGCCAATTGACTTTCGACGAATTGACTTCGACGAATTGACTTTCGACGATAAGACTTTCGGCCAACTAACGTCAACCCATTGTGTTTCACGTTTATTGTTATGCTTAGCATAGAATGAATTCCCCACAAACAAATATGCTTCATTTAACAGTCTTAGGCAATATGCAAGTAGGTACCCAACTGACCTTTCTGAATAAGATTTCATCTGACGTAGTAGATGAAAATTCTTCGATTCGCTGAGGTGTCAAAGTTTTCAATGTCTTAGGTTTGTATCCATATTCTGATTGCATAAATTCGCTCACATGAATATTGTGTTTTACGTTCATTGTCATGCTAAGCATAAAATGAATTTCCAACAAATATGCTTCATTTAACCTAGAGTCCTTGGAAATATGCAAGTATAGGTACCTACATGAAACAATCTCTTCGATTTCACTTTCGTCTCCATTTCCTAAACATTTTTTAATAAAGAACTCTGATACAAATAGTAATTGTCCTAATAATTCTGAATGCAACAAAATTCTAAAATGAAAGTTGACAGTTCCTACAATTTACGAACAGGACTCGAACGACTGAAGGTGTGGTAAAAAAACTCTATTGCCATGGTAATGTGTTTGGGAAATTGTGTTGCCATGGTAACGTGTTTAATTTTTTCAATAAATCATAAATCATCAATTCATGATCAATTATTTAGCGTGAGTAGAATAATATATTATGTAACGTTATAAACGTTCTCTTAGTAACGAGTATTTCAAGCACGAGCGCAGCGAGTGTTTAATAAACGAGTGTCTAGAAGGGTTTATAAACGCGTTACATACTATACTTTTTTAAGGAACTCCTAATTCCTCTCTTTGGAAAGAATCCATGATTCCGAAAATTAGATTAACCCACCTGGCTTACCTACAAAATAATTCGAACGGAATGGATATATATAGAGAACATAATATATGATATGCAACCAACGAGAAACGTATAAGTAATAACTAATAATTATTGTAGATGTGTCCAGTTCATAGGATACATGAATGGCTTGCTTGCGTGAATAAGTAGTTTCCATCTGACGTAGAAGATAAAAACTTTTCGATTCGCTGAGGTATCAAAGTTTCAGACTTCTCGGGTTTGTATCCATATTCTGATTGCACAATTATTGCTCACATAAATATGTTCCTTTTCGTGGGAACCAGAACATACAAAAAAACATAAAATAAATTGCTCACTAAGAGTAGAGCTTCATTTTCAGATAGAGTTCTTGGAAATATATAAGAAGAACACCAATTCCTACCTTATTTTCCTCGGTTTCACGATGTTCTCTGAACAATACAGGATATCCCTTTTCGTGGGAACCAGAACATAAAAAAGCATAAAATAAATTGGTCACGTAGAGCTTCATTTTTAGACAGACTTCTTGGATATATGCAAGTATATCAAAAACATTCTCTTCGATTCCACTTTTGTCTATATTTCGCATATATTTCGCATAGGTACAATGAAGAATTCTCATACATACAGAAATTGTTTCAATAATCCTGATTGCAACAAAATTCGTAAATGAAAATGCTTTCATGATCATATAAATTGTGTATAATTAGGTTATAAGTTGATGGTTGAAATTATTAAGAAAAATTTAGTTTTCTTCTTTTTAGAGCGTTCAAATGAAAGATTTTTATTAAAAACTTTTTTTTTACTCTCAATTTATTTTTTAATTTTTAGTTATCGCTAGCTGGATTTTTCGATTTATTCTCAACTAGCCATTTCATTTGATACCCATATTGTAGAAGTATATTGAAAATGACCATTTCGCCATCTTGGATGGTCCGCCATTATGGATTTAGAATGACGTCACATCATTTTTCGAGTTACTCTCAACGAGCCTTTTCATTTGATACCCATATTATAAAAGTATATCAAAAATAGCTATTCCGCCATCTTGGATGATCCGCCATATTGGATTTAGAATGACGTCACATCATTTTCCGAGTTACTCTCAACGAGCCTTTTCATTTGATACCCATATTGTAAAAGTATATCAAAAATAGCTATTCCGCCATCTTGGATAGTCCGCCATATTGGATTTAGAATAACGTGACACACCTCATCGCGCATTGTCATCCAAACTGAACGTGTATACAAAATTTCAGCTCAATCGGTTGAATATTTCTACTTCAAAATTGAGTTCAAAGATTCCACACGATTCACACGAACATACATACATCCATACAAACATACAATGCAAGTCAATTAAAAACTTTTAATAATTGATAATAAAAAAAATGCGCAACTTTGCCTTGATTCAATCGACCTCGTACCACTCATAATAACTGAGATTTCCATGGTGGAGCTTGAAAAACGGTCACCCTGTATGTGTACCAGATTACAATGATCCCATGAATCTGCTGGACTAGTTGGAGAATGGTTCTGAATTATTGTTAATAATAATTAAAAAATGCCAAAACACTTCAATCCAAAACATGATGAAGCCTCTACCATTCACCATTTCTACCGAGCGTTGAGAAGTTAAGGGTTGAAGAGTAATATTTGTTTTTTCCTGTCTACTGATCGTACCATCCACTTTTTTCAAGAATAAAAAAATTGGCTATCATCAGTTCCAAAATTTCAATGAGTGTGGTACTAATCAACTACCCATTTCATTAAAATTGATATAATTTACTTAAAATAACTATTTGTATGCCTAGAGAGCGAAATACCTATTTAGAAAACCGAGGCCGAGGCAAGATAATCTTGAGATTGCTAAAAAGATATGCTGTTGTTACAGGGTGTAACCGTAAGAGATACAGGGTCGGTTAAATTATAACACGGTTGAGCAATTTCATGCCTAACAAAATGCTCTTTTAACTTGAAATATTCCGAATACTTTCGGAGATATACCTACGAAAAGAATCTTAATTTCCTAAACCCTTTCTATTTATTCTTCAAGTTATTTGGAGAAATTCTTTGGAATAACACTTTATTATGGCACCTTTTTTCCCTACAAGTTAGCGTTTTCAAATTTGAAATCCGACGTTTCGTCTTCCAGAAACCATCATCAATACCCTCCCCTCCGGAAACTTTTTCTTTGAGAAAGTAGCATTTTCCCGGCCTAGTCCAGGTAGTACGTACTTTCCGGACTAGGCCGGGAAGTATTATATCGTTGTTGTCATAGTGACTATGAAAATCTTGAAAGATATGGTTTTGATATATTATGCAGAACTCACGGCGCAGGCAGGTCAATGCTGTTAATGAAGACCTTGCTGAAATCACAGCCTGGGGAACCAACAACCTAATTGAATTCAACGCCACCAAAACTCAAGCCTGTATTTTCTCTAGAAAGGCAGAACTCAATATGCCCGATATTGTAATGTCTGGCACCACCATCCCCACCAAGCCCACCATATCTATGCTCGGTATTTCCATCAGCAACACTCTTCCATGGAATAATCATTTCAGATCCATCGCAAAAGCCGCTTCACAAAAACTCGGATTCTTGTTCCGTGCGAAAAGCTACTTTACACCTCAACAGCTTCTCATGATCTATAAAGCGCAGATACGGCCTGTTCTAGAATACTGTTCCCACATATGGGGTTCAGCACCAAAACATACGCTGATGCTCTTAGATTCCATCCAGAGAAGAGCCATCCGCCTGGTGGGTGACGCCACACTCACTCACTCTTTGACATCATTGGAACACCGTAGAAAGTTCGGCGACCTTTCACTTTTCTATCGATACTTCCATGGGAAATGTTCTTAGGAAATTTCTGCTATCATCTCTTCACTAGCAATACCAGTCAGACGAACTAGACAAGCCCAGTCAGCACATCCTTTCGTAGTCAACCTCGAACAGCACTTTATCAAAACTCCTTCATCCATAAAACGGCTAGGCCCTGGAATTCATTGCCTGAGGAAGTATTCCCATTAACATAATATAATCTCCAGAAGTGAAAGAAAAATTTCAATACCTACCTCCTGTCCCTATCCTTCCTAGAAACGCACGATGTTCTTTGAACATTATAGGGATTTCCTTTCGTGCGCTCCAAACGATGAAAAAAATCATAACCATAGCAAAGAAATAGCGGCTGACAGCTATTTGACATAAGTTACGTTGACATTTTGATTTTTGAAAGTTTGCATGGTTGCAACTATCGTAATGAACTATGGAAAGCAGCAGCAATAGTGCGAGTTTGAAAATGTGCCTCACGAAATACAAATACAAATCTTGAGTATTCAAATTTCAATATATTCCTTTAAAATTCAAAACGAATTTTTTTTACTAAAAGTGGCTATCAAAACTTAAATGAGTGCGGAAAAGTGAGCTTTTCCGTACGCTAGTAGAAAAAAATAATCACGGCCTCAAGCGACACCCAAGGGTGTTAGCTGGTGTGAACTGGTGTTATCTTTTTTCACTGTGTATGTGGTTAGTAACAGCACGTATTGTCAAATATAATACCACAAGTGATAATATTTTGTCGGAAATATTCGGTGATTGTTGCGACAGCTTGTTGCCTAGTTATTTCGTGAATGGCATTGTTATCAAAACTACGAGTTGTAGGCGAGTAGTTTTGGATCAATGGTATGAGTGAAATTAGAGCAGCAAGCTGGAGTATGTCAATCGACGAATATTTCCAGAAAAAATAGTATCACGAGTTGTATTCGTATGACTATTTCAAGATTGAATGAGACAATATATACAGAGTGGGCCGTTGAAAACGAAACAGAGGCTCTGTAGGTCGCCAAAACCGGATTATAAAAAAAATCTGAAACACGTCAACTATATTTTCGAGGGGGACATCGTTCTAAAATATTTTCAGCCCTGCGGCGTTGCTGCTTCTAGAGAAAAGAAGCAACAACTTTGTTATTTCAAATGGAACACCATGTATTTTATTGTATTTTTAGATTCTCCCCGAAGAGCTGATTTCATCAATGCATCACACTTGGGGTCCAGCTGTAATGGTTTCAGGGATATAAAGTGTTCAAAATCGAGATTTTTCAACTTTAGCATTTTTTTGTGTCGAAACTATTCATTATTGGTCAAAACGGCATTCATGTCCCTATCTCAACTTGTGATTTACTATCTACTAACATTTAATTGGAACAGATACAGGGTGATCAGAATTCTGAATCTTGAACCACCCTGTATTTGTTTCAAATAAATGTCAGTAGATAGTAAATCACAAGTTGAGATAGGGACATGAATGCCGTTTTGACCAATAATGAATCGTTTCGACACAAAAAAATGCTAAAGTTGAAAAATCTCGATTTTGAACACTTTATATCCCTGAAACCATTACAGCTGGACCCCAAGTGTGATACATTGATGAAATCAGCTCTTCGGGGAGAATCTAAAAATACAATAAAATACATGGTGTTCCATTTGAAATAACAAAGTTGTTGCTTCTTTTCTCTAGAAGCGGCAACGCCGCAGGGCTGAAAATATTTTAGAACGATGTCCCCCTCGAAAATATAGTTGACGTGTTTCAGATTTTTTTTATAATCCGGTTTTGGCGACCTACAGAGCCTCTGTTTCGTTTTCAACGGCCCACTCTGTATAAGAAATAGGAAACATAATTCAAGTATATTCCAACTCAAACTGCGAAGAAGAACATAATGAGAGTAATGCAATACATAATTCATTTTTTTGGAAATTAACTATACCTACTTATGTTGGAGATGGTTGCTCTCAAAAGGGTGTATACTTGCTATCCAATTTATTTGTGACATGAAATAATTTAAAAAAAGATATCGTCGCCGAGGGGCTCGAACCACCGACCTTCGTATCCTCGTGCAACAACCCTATCAGTTGCACTATATCATCTGGTAATTATAGTCACAATAACTTGAGTCATTGAAGAAGATTACTTTAAGAAGGAATTTGAATTCTAGTATTGTTGTGTCAGACCGTCAACAAATACGCATACTTTTTAAATTACACATGAAACGTCCAGTCAGAATGAAATTGTCTCGCCTTTCGTACAAAATGTCTCACTAACGCGAATTATAAATAAATAAAATAAAGTAGGTACTTAGGTTATTGTCTCAGATTTGAATCGAAAGCAATCTTGACCAGACACGATGTCAAAATTTTATCGCTGATAAACGAGGTTTGTTGGTCACGTTTGGGTCAATTCGGCTTCTGTATTGGTAGAGCAAGTCCGATAAAATTTAATAAACAAAAAATATCACTAGAATACAGAAGAAACCGTGGAAATAGTCGATTCTGATTGGCTCTCGAGATCAAGATTGGAATAGTCAGTAATAATTGTTCTTTACTGCAGGTAGTGATGAAAACCCAATTCAGAGACCCGGACGGCATGCTGAACTGCCTGCAAAACGTGATAGCAGACAACAGTGAGTCGATTTTCTTCCTGCTCCTGGAATCCTGCGAATCCTTCGACCCCTGCATGATCCGCAGGAACAACGTCCTGTCTCCGGAGCAGAAATCGGCCCTGCTGGAGCTGGCAAAGTGCCCTTTGCCTCTCAAGCGGCAGGTGAGGCTGTTAATCTATGGTAGAAGTCAGGGGCGTCGATAATGATATTTCTAAGGGGACGGGGCGGTGATGACTTTTTAGTATAAGTAATGAATGAAAAATCATGTTATAGAGAGCTAGTCATAAATAATATACAGCGTTAGTCAATAGTGTGTTTTCCGTCAATATTAGCCAAACCGTCAGATATACAGGCTGATTCACGGTGAATGATACATTAGACGTTTCTGGAGAAAGCAACGTGTGATTATTCTGAAAATTTGGTTCATTAGATAATTAGTTGTGTTCTATCGACCTAAAATATTCTCAGCGTTACGACGTTGCCACTTATATTGAAAGATATTTTGAAACAAAATCTTTTCCTTAACCACCCTGTATCTCTCTTGAACCAGCAATATTTTTAAACTACATTTTATTTCCCATTCTTAATACAATAAATGAAATTATTAAAATGTCATTGGTGGAGAATGAATCTGATGTTCAAGAGCGAATAACACAAAAACCTGGAAGCTAGACAGTTTGATAAAGAGTACATTTCTCATGTGAAATTGAACGAGCTTTCAGATTTTCCACTTATTTTGAATCAATGAATTGACATAGAAGATATGAGATGAATTATCGAAGTAACAGAGTGCCACTAGCGCCCTCTATGAGCAATCAAAAAATAAATTGCAAATTCATATTCCTCATGTCAGAAAACCTGAAAAACACAAGATTCCATGTTCATGCTGTTGAAACTAACAAAGGTATTGTGAAATTTTGAAATCAAATCTTCCCCTAGAACACCCTGTATCTTCTAAACCAGCAACATAGAGGAGTCGTTAATCTATGCCAGCAATATTGGGCTAAATCTCATTATTTTTGTGTTAACTATCTGTAGTTCAGAGATTTTCCATTCTCAATGAATCACCCTGTATATCTTGCCTAGAAACCCTAAATGCACAGGGCAGTCAGAACAGATTGACTCTAGCATGGGTACCAGCACATACAGGGTACGAAGACAATGAAGAGGCAGACTCACTTGCCCGAGCAGGAGCAAACAAAGCTCTTAATGGCCCAGAACCCTTCTGTGGTATTGCGAAAGCTATACAAAAGACTAGTATCAAATCATGGATGCAAACCAAATCTCAAGAATGTCGGAACAACTCGCTAGGAATTAGAGAGGCTAAAGAGTTTATTAAAAAACCATCGCCAACATTCACAGAATATCTACTAAGCCAGAAACGAAGTTCAACTAGAATACTAGTGGGACTTCTCACAGGGCATTGTAGGCCCAACAAACACATGAGTACGATAGGTCTGACTGAAGAACTGCTGTGCAGGTTCTGTCAAGAAGAGGAAGAAACAGCAGTGCACATACTTTGCCACTGTGAGGGCTTGTCAAGACTAAGGTTCCTTACGCTGGGTGAGGAAAAACCAGGAGCCCAGAGATACACAGGAGATCTGAAAGCTAGCCTATGGAGTCTCATAGAGAAGGTGGGGCTAGCCGAAGAACTCTAATCGATTTTGAGGGCAGACTCAATAGATCTGAAAAGGTCGCAGTGTGGAGGCAGATAGCCCGAAGGTCCCATTCCAAATCAAATCTAATCTAATCTACTAGGGTAGGTAGAAGATTTCAAAATGAGTTGTATTTACTCAGTAAAAAAATTTCGTAGCGGCATCCTATTTCAAGATACAAGGTGTTGAAAAAATTATTTTTTACACATATTTCAAGATTATGTCGAAACTACTGGCAACATTGTAATTGAATTTTGAATGGATGTTTTTTGGAATCTGACACATCGCATGCATTTGTTTTTATATCTGACTCTCATAAAGGGAGCTAGTTACACGGTTCGTACCGAGTAGTTTTGAACATAACTTTTTTGAGGTTAAATTTTTCAATCCAAATTTGATGTGAACTTGAACATCATTCAATTTCACACCAAAAAGGTACTCCTGGTAAAACTCGATACTGTGTTCCGTTTTCGGAATATTTCGATTTGAAAATGATGAGGTGATAACTGTGGCAGGTATAAAGCTATGTATTAGCACTATTAGAGTGAGTATTATGAAAAATTATCACCTATTCATTGATTTTACAATGAATCACAAGAATAACATCTATACAAATTTGACTAAGAACATGGATTACACAGTTTTATTGTATCGTGAGCAGAAAGTCTATGCTACATAGGTACCTAAATCACGTCAAGAGTTGTAAGACATAATTGAACATCACCAAAAATTACCTACCGGCTGATCTATGAACACTTACTCTAACTGATTCAATATTTCATGTTTCTTTAATTTATCACTTATGATTCTTTGTTCCACCAATAACTTCAGCACAAGAATAATCTTATTGTTTTTGAATCTGAATAAATAGGTAAGTGAACTAAATAAGATTCATTATATACCAGCATCAGCTATTACTCCATTATTTTCAAATCGAAAGATTCCGAAAACGGAACATAGTATCGAGTTTCACCAAAAGTACCTTTTTGGTGTATAATTAAATGATGTTCAAGTTCATATCATATTTGGATTGAACAATATATCCTCAAAAAAGTTATGTTCTTAACTACTCGGTACGACCCGTGTAACTAGCGCCCTCCATGAGAGTCAGATATAAAAACATACAAAATTTCATTACAATGTTGCCAGTAGTTTCGACATAATCGTGAAAAATGTGTAGAAAAATCATTTTTTCAACACCTTGTGTCATGAAAACGGATGCCGTAACGACATTTTTTCACTGAGCACACCCAACTCATTTTTCTACCCTAGCAGGGAGGTCGAGTTTTTTTTTAAACACCCTGTAAAGGTACTAATCATTTTAGAACGTCGAAAAATATTTGAGGACAGTCAAAATATGTTTGTGGTACATTCAAGGATATATTATTTTTATTTTTGATTATTGATTCATTACTTTCTAATATCTCCAGGTGAGGCTGTTCCTGAGAAGACTACTGGGGGCAGAAATGATTGACGCCGTGGACGGGTTCGAGTTGCCCAAGTGTTTGGCCAAGTATTTGCTGTTCGATTATCGTTGAAGAGGTTTTTAGGTGTACGAATCACTGACATAACTACTACCTAGACCTCTATTATGTCATATCTTGCCTGAAAACGCTACTGTTCAATGCGCAAGCACTCCCAAACTATCGTTCATGCATTGATCTCTTGCTGTTCGGAAACATGAGTGAGAGTGAGTCAGATGACCAATGAACACAATATAAACACCTGGAAGGGATCCTCTGTGAACAGCTTACATAAATTGTACGCTGCTGTGAACGAGGAGTGAGGCAAAAATATTGTTCATTATACCTCAATCAACGCCGCAGTGGTTACGGATATACATATCTCTTTCTATCTTATGTTGGCTAAGGGGAAGTGCTCGCATTATTTGAATTATTTTCTTGTTTTTTGCTTCTTTCAAGAGTATACGTGATTAAATATAAATATGCATTCAAGAAGAAAGATAATGTTGCAGTCAATTATTATTTGAAAATAATTATTAATTTTTTTATTGACTCAAAATTGAAATTCCTTCATTATTCTTACAGGATTAGGAACGCAAATGAAAACAAAATCGAAATTATAAAATTATATATTCTTATTCAAATGTCACAATATATTGTACAGGGTGAGCGAAGCCTAATGTTTCAGCACTATCAGAAGAAATAGAAAAAAAAATAGAAAACATTCTAAAAGAGGCTCTCGAATGGTATCGAGTAGGTACTTAAGATCTATTTTAAGCCTAATTTGTATGAGTACCTATTTTTCCATAAACATTTCATTATTAGGTGAATGAGAGGTGAATAAAAAGTGAATAAAAGTACGATGCTAGGACGAATTTTTTCATTGAAGATGAATATCTGATGCGTCGCGCAGAATGTACACCTTAATTTTTTTCTTTCTGGAGAACGCTAAGCTCCAAAGGCAAATCTGAAAAGACAGTATGGTGTAGCTCTCCAGTTTAAAAATTTGAACTTGTAGTTTTTACCTTCAAAATGTTTTTAAGTGTCTCATCAAGATTGTCATTCTCCTTTTTACTTTTTATTTCAGTGATTTCATTTTTTTTGCAATAGAATAGACCTGCTCGAATGAAACATCAGTTTGTGGGTTTCGTTATCAATAAACTTTGAAACTTACATGGGAGCTGGAAGTTGTAAGCGAATCAATTTCCATATGAAAAACATTGTACTTAGAAACTTAGAATCCAAGCTATAAACATCCACAGACACATCGACATACACATCCTGGAAATAACTATAGTATTTCTAAATATCTGAACAATTTTCAACTTACCCATGGAGGACAATTTCTGTTTGCCTCGCTCATTTTGCATTCAAATGCAACACAATATTGATGTTTATTAATTCGAAATCAAAAATCTTTCCAACAATAATCAATTCACACCAACAAATACAATCCTTTTAAAAAAACAAAACACGCCAAATTTAGCGATATTTCACATAACAAAAAACAATGAAGTTCTGTCTTCACTTTCTTGTCCGTTTAGATGAGAAAAAATAATCTCAAGTACTCCAATCATTGAATAAGAGACAATTTATACTCCAATCCGCTATTGAACAACATGAGTATGAAAGAGACAGGTTACCGTAACACAAGCTATCTTCGTTGCAGCTGCCCCTGACCTGACACACTTTATGCTCTTCGAGAAACCGGCCGTCTCCTTCCCAGGTGTTTATATTGAGTTCATTGTATATGACAAGTCCTAAATGTGCATGATTCTGTGAGTGGCATAGCTTTATTCTTATGGCATTAGCGGTCTAGTTAGTTATTTATGTCGGTGAAACGGATGGATTTAGTTCACAGAAATGGCTGGCCACGAACTTGAGATACAGTTTCTCGATTGAGCAGGATGTTTTTGTGGCAACTTATTACTGAGTAATCCTTATACTAACCTCTTGACCTTAGACCAATCAGGATCTGGCTTCGCTGGACTGCTAATATTAACAATGTGTCGAAAGTATGCTGATATTAAACGAAGCAGGCAATATATCTGCATCTCTCTGAGATGCTATTATCGTTATTGCGCATGTCAGAGGAATTCACAGTCGAATATGGCGGGAATTTTAAAAGCCTATAGCTGCAATCACTCTACTTTACTAAAGAAAAACGAATATATGGAATGAAAAGAGCACGTTTGGGGTAGAGTTGAATTACACATCATTTCCGAAAGATTATTACGAATTTTATGTCAAGGTGTAGGTAATTCATTGAAAACATGTCAAAGAATATTCTTATCTGAAAACAATGAGATAAAAGTAATCAGTATGAATGATAACACTAAATTTATTAACTAAGTACACCTGGAATAAACGCCACTAAAATACAACTAATAGAAAACACTCAGAATAGGATGCTTTATCTGTGACGAATACCTTATAAACATCATACTTCTAGTCAATTCACAGAATCTTTTAGCAGTTTGGTCTTCAGGAAAACTGAAACATTTACTATTAATCTCATGAAAATTATTATAATTATGTTCGTCATGAATTTCCATCAAGTAAATGGCCGAGTCAATTCAAAATGAAAATCATTAAATCTCCCTACCTATGAAAAGTTATTATTAACTTTCTAGTTCCTGAAGAATAATTTTTTCGGAGTATGCAGCAGATCGTTAATCATTTTGCAGCTTGTAATTGATGGAGTTTTCAACAGAAAATCACACAAATTTGGTTTTGTAACATTTGCGGAAAAAAAAATGCTTCACATGGCAGCAACTATGAACTATCAGCCGCGGTAGTCAATCTACTACTTTGCTGCCTAGTATAATAACAAACTATTTTGCTTCAAATTACATCGAACGTGGCTTTTTCATGACATTTAACAGGCAGAACAGCAGGTGTGATTTCTCTGCCTAGGCAGTTCCAAGTAGTTTGAATAAAATGGGTATTCATACTTGACAGTGACATTGGATGAACACAAAATAATGGAGTTCTCGATAAAAATTAACACAAAATTGGTTCTAATACATTTGGAGAAAAAATTCAATGTTTCACTTGGCAGAAAACAAGATTCAATGCCTTGGCCTGAAAAACCAGCCCCTTCATTGAATCTTGTCCTTTTCTGCCTCTAGAACAATTAATAACTATTTTTTGTTGGGTATCATTCTAGTGTCATATAAGATGACATTCGAATTTTTTTATTCTTTAAATACTTTCGATGTGCTTCTGCGATTACTACTAAAGCAGTTTAGCGAAGTCAGATTTCGTATGATCTAATTATAAGCCTTTGACTAACACTGTCATGAGCCACCCGGTAGGTATTAACCTAATGAAAAAATTAGAGTTTTTCGTTTTGTATCTAATTAACTTTGAACTAACGGTGTTGTTTAACCCCAGTTTGTAGATATTTCACTAACATTATTAAAATCAAGAATGATACAGTTCAGATGAGTACCCATACATTGAAAAAAAATTGAAGTTGAGGTTAGAGGTGCTTATAAATCCAAAATATCCAACACGAGAGAACTTGATTTTCGAAAGTTGTATATGTCAAACTCAACCGTAGCAAAGGTTTATAATGTGGTATTATAGGCGATACCACATTATACAGGGTGAGTCAATAGTGTATTCTCCTTCGATATTAGCCAAACCGTCAGGTATATACAAAAAATTCGAATACAACAGTGTTAAAGAATATAATGAGAGCTATCACCTAAAATAATTTCATAATAGTAATAATAATAATAAATTTATTCATCTTTCTTTATTATACATATAGTTGATACAAGACATGTCAGGGGAAAAACAAAAAATATATATAAATATATCTATAGGATGTTCGAATTCTAAGATATCGCCTGATGACGGGTGTTTTTGAATGGGACACCCTGTATATTATTGCATTTTGGAATTTTCCCTAAAGAGCTGATTTCTTCAATGTATCACACTTGGGGTCTAGCGAAAATGATTACAGAGATATAGTGTGTTCTGAATCGAAAATTTTCAAATTTGGGATTTTTTGTGTCAGAGCTATTCATTATTGGTCGAAACGGCGTACATGTCCTTATCTCACCGTTTGATTCACTATCTACTGGAATTTAATTGGAATAGATATAGGGTGATCAGCAATAATATTGAATTTTGAACCACCCTGTTTTTGTTCCAATTAATTGTCAGTAGATGGTGAATCAAAAGTTTCGATAGCCGTTTCGACCAATAATAAATAGTTTTGACACAAAAAAATCACAAAGTTGAAAAATATGAATTTTCAACACCCTATATATATATCTATAAACATTTCAGCTAGTCCCCATGCAAGTGCGATACATTGATGAAATGAGCTCTTAAGAGAGAATGTAATAATATACAGGGTGTCTCATTTGAAAACACCCATCATCAACCGATATCTTGGAATTCTGCACGTAAATTGTGATTGTAGCAAAACAGTATTCACGGAGAGGAACAGTGGTACAGTTGAATACTTGATCATCCATCGCGTAAACTTTGTGCTGGTCGACTCGTAGTTAAAATGCATTGGAAATCTGATATGCCGGCAAACTTTTCTATATTTGTATATATTTGTATCTATCAACATATTCTATTCGAAATTTTTTCGTTAGATTCGATAAAGAAAATTAACGTTTCACAGATAACGAAAAAAAATCTAACTAATTGTTCACATTCGACTGCGTCCCACGAGTATTTCCTAGAATATATATAAAATAATAATCGATATACATTAGCCGTCATTGAAAAATGGTTGATTGTGGTGATTAGTAAAATATAACGTTTGTCTCACACTCTTCTAGTGTCTATTAGGTTCAAATCTATGGCATTTGTCAGCCAACATATCAACGACGTTGAGTGCTTATAAGTTATAGGAACGTATCGGATTCAACGTTATTGTAATAACCAAATTAATAACGTTGCAGAATTGAAAAGGTTCATTCATCTACGAACTATGGTATCAATCTCTTGGATAGGTGAGTACCCATCCAAGTAACGATAATTATTATAGATATTGAATTGAACTCAACAAATATTTTTCTCATACAGTATAAGCCTCACAAAGAGCGAGACGGTTTTTATTTTTCATGTGATTTATCGAATTGAAGAGCATGAAAGAGTATACCTAGAGATGGGCTTATCATTTTTCAGCACAAAAACCAATAAGGTCAACTCTAAATTTTTGGAGTTGAAAATTTAAAAAAGAAGGCAATCATCTTGATGCATCACTGAATGATTATTATTATTATTATTATATAGTTGTTAATTTCACAAAAAAAAATTTCGATGCTACTGCCTAAAATAAATTTGAACTTGTCATAATTGACGAGTTGGCATTAAGAACCTACAGCAAAAAGTGATTCTGTATGTTGAATCATTAATTATACTGATTCTTCATTCTTCAAAATGGTATAAAAATATGGCAGCATTACACTCCTGACTTTAAATACAGGTTATTCACGAAGTTGTAATCAGAATCGTGTGATAAATTTCAAGACTTTATAACATCAATAACTTAACACAAATGACTTATAACATAAATAACTTATAACATAAATAACTTATAACATAAATAACTCATAACATGAATAACTGTATTATTGAATCGTTTTATGCTTTTAGATTTTTAGATTCCTCTCTTCCTGCAATCAATCA